ATCTCTTTACACTTTGCATATAGTAATCGTCACTGTATCACATTGCATCCTCAAAATGTGTAGCACATCCATTAAAATGGATCATTACGCTATACAAAATTTAAATATGCATACGAAGCATAAGCCAGATTTGGTATCCTTTCACAAAAGACCCGAATCAATCAAAACAACATCTCCAAAGAGAATGTATCCCCATAATTTCCAATTAATATTCCCCGTGAACTTCCTTTTGAAATACGCACCAGGTTGCAAACCCATTTCCAAGGCCCAGTTCTAGTCTGGTAACCCCTTTTCAAAGCATAGTTTCTGTCTAGCAACCCAACAGAAGATCCAAAATCTAATCCTCGTCTGGTAGTCAGTTCCCATCTGATGGTTAATCAAGTTCAATTCCCGTTTGATAGTTAACCAAGTTCAGTTCTCGTTTGATAGTTAATCAAGTTCAGTTCCCGTCTGATAGTTATTTAAGTCTAGTTCTCGTCTGGTAGTCATTTCTTGTCTGACAGTTAATTCAAAGTCTAGTTCTCGTCTGGTAGATAATATTTAAGAGCCACAAGGGCTAGATGAGGAGTATACAACTCAGGACAAAAAATTGAAAGAAAAAGTCAGTGTTGAAATAATATGAATCCAAAACTAATTCACGATGCTCAGTTTAAATCTGCACATCATATAGTATATTTAAATAAAACCCATTACAAAAAATATGGCCCTGCATATCAAAAACAAAAAACCAGATTCATTTAATTTCTCACTAACTGAACTCAGAAATCACAGTTTCATAACTAACTTAATTTATATTAAAATATTAGCTCATATAACTAACTGTGACACAACAGTAATAACCAAATAACAAATTTTTAACTAACTCTCTCTAATCCTCATCTCACCATTAATTTGAAACAAACTCTATAACTGAATATCTCAGATCAATAGTTGAGATCTTTTCAAGCTCTAATTGATTCTCCTAGCCTTACATCTATATAAACTCAAATTCTCCCTTAATCCAATCCTCTCCCCCATTTTTCCTCTCATTTTAAATCATCTCTTTCATGCACCATTTTCTTCATTTCACTCTCATCTTCACCAATCTCTCACCTTCATTCACCATCATCTTCTACGTTCCATTCTGACACCCTCCTCCTCCTCCTCCCCCGAGTCTCCATTTTATAATCCACGCTCCACCATTTTCTTCCATCTCTCCTTCTTCAACTACACACTTCCCCTTCACCCATCGAACAACCTCAAACTCTTCTCAATCCTCTCTGTTTCTCCTCTCTGCAACACCAACAACACATCCATCTTCATCATCATCATCATCGCAGTTTCAACGCTCACCATCATAACACTGCCATAATCAAGAACAACAAATTCTCACAATCGGAGAAATGCACAGAAATGAGAAAAGGAAGAAGAAATCAGAAGCAGTTCAGAAACATGAATTGAAGCATGAATGGAAAACATACTGAAGACTAATTGATGTATAGTATTACATGCAATTTCCTCTGGATTTCTTTCAAACCATGTCACCGTTGAAGAGCCGTTGAAGCGTCTCCGAAGGTAAGCATCATAAAATTCAATCTTTAATCTCCTTCGTCTTCTCTGTATGGATTGAAGTGCGAGAAGCCAAATCGTGAATCTGTGGTATATGGTATGTTCGTTTTGTTCTTTGATTTTGGTAAAGTAGTTTGGATGAAGGAAAACAAGGTTGAATCGGAGACGCGTAGGAGGCGAGCGGAAACGGGTGGAATCTGAACAGAGATGTAGAAAACGTAAGATGAGAACGGGTTCATTTTTAGTTCAATTTTAATCCCTTGATTAAATTGAATTAATTAGACCTTAGGCCATTAAACCAAGCATGACAAGAATTAAGTAGAATTCCCCATTTCAATCTCAACTTTAGATCCACATTGCATGTTAACATTAGGACCCTAGTCTTCCTTTGACTTTTTTCATTCCCCTTTTGCATCTTTAAAACTAAAACTCTTTTTCTCAATCAAATTCATAAAAAACTTAATCGTGTTTAAACACTTTCCACAAAAACAAAACATAAACCAGTTAACCGTGGCATCTTGCCTTGAGGGCGTAACTCAAAATCATTTCAAAAGGATTCGTCACCCATAAAAAACACATAACAAACCAAATTTTTTTAGTTGAACTACGAGTGCCCTAATCCTCTATTGCACGAAGGGAGTACGTAGGCACCAAGGTGCACAACCGCGGATGGCACAACTAATAAAATCTTTTATTTTTCCCTTAAGTAATTCACACATACATTCCCTTAGCAAGTAAGCAATAAATATAACACACTCTTTGATTAGAACAACAAGAGTGAATCCTTTGGAGTATCACAGACGTGAGGGGTGTTAATACCTTCTCCTCGCGTAATCGACTTTCGTACCCTTTCTCTTGGTTGCAAGACCATCTTCTCCTTCCTTTTGGGGTTTACTCGATATTTTTCCTTCCTTCGGGATAAATAAAGTTCGGTGGCGACTCTGTATTTTTTCGCGGTGCAACAATCGCATTACATTTATTTTATCGTCTCTTTATTTAATCATATGTTCTTCTTCTACTTTTATTCCAATTGCATGTTCAAAGCTTTAATCATTATGTCTATTATGCTTTATTTCAAAAACGAATTAATTGTTTTATCGCACATTACAATCATGTCTAGCTAAATTATAATTGTTGGAATGTGAGGACCGTCGATTCGACGATACTCTAAATTGTTGTTCTTCGAGAAATACTTGTTAGGACTGTTTTAATTTTATAACAACTTTTCTAAACTTAATTTGTTCAGTTGCTACGAAAGTAGAACCATTTATATGTCGGGTAAGATCGAAAGTTGTCTGGTACAAAAGATTAAGGTTATTTAGTTTTGAATTAATAAATACCGCAAAAGCTCTTTGGTTGTTAATTAGGAAAGCTAGTATTTTTTAGAAAGTGTTTTTAAACCCATTTTCGGACGCATTTATGTGCTTAAGGTACAGTTGGCTAAGCGAACGTCGAGAACCCATTAAAGTCTAATTTTCCGGTTAAATCTACTTTTCATCTGAGTAAAAGAAACTTATTTCTAAAAAAAGGTACTTACTTCTTTAAAGTAAAACGCGTCGGACACGCGACAACAAGCGGTATAAATTAAAGAGTAAAATCTGGTTTCGATTACACGACATCGACAATTTCCTCCTTAATTAGTTCTTTTCAAAGGAGAAAACAATGTCCCATAGGTAGTTCGATTTAGGAACAATAAGAGTATCAACGAATTGACGAGATCCACATTCCAACATTGCATTTCTGAATTAATTTAAGTTTATTATTTTATCCTGCTTCACAATTCAAACACGTATTTTTATTCGCCTTAGATAAACACCGTAGCAATAGATAATAATAGCTTGACTATTAGGTCTCTGTAGATTCAATACTCTTTATATTATTCTAATATTTTTCGTGCACCTGTGAAATATCCATCAAAATACGATTTCAATTTATAGGTGGGAGACAAAACTTTTTTTCCCCTTTTATGGATACAATTTCCAGCTCCATCCTATTTAATAGGATTCTGGAAAATTAGGTACTATTAATAAATTTTTATTTTAATGTTTAATATAATTAATAAAATAATAAAATAAACAAAACATAACATAACATATTAAAAATTATATTATTCATCTTACATCTGACACATAAGTAACATATTTATTATATCATTAAAAATACTGTAAGATTAAAAGAGGACTATATTCCTTAAAAAAAAAAATAATGGAATTGTATAAACTGATTTTTGAAATAAGAGAGCTAAAATTGGAAAAAATGCATAATATAGAAATTAAAGTTGTATTTAAACCAAAAAAATATGGACAAATTATTTACCTTGAAGTTTGGAAATCACATCACTTGTTCTGATAATTGATCCTAAAATAATACCATACTATCTTGCAAAATCGTCCTTAAGATGGTGTAAGATGTGTTACTACTCAAGGGTCAAAAGTTATCACAATTAAACATATAAATATTACCTTATAAAATGGTTGTTAAAATTCAATCATGACATATCTCTATTTATTTTATATACTTAACTAAAATAAATATGTCAAGACTTATAGTTTTTACGTAGATTCTAACTTTTATATATATTTTTTAAATTTGAATTAGATAACATTTATTTAAATTTATAGATCATATCATTTGCTCTAATAATTAGTCCGTGTATTTTTATTAAAATAATATTATATTTTATCTTTGAAAATGTATAAAATATACTGTACATAGATTAAAAATTACAACGATGAAATATTAACCGAATGATCTTATAAAATAGTTGTCACGATTAAATCATAAATAAAATTTATGTTTGTTTTATATATTTAGCTAATAATAAATATGTCAAGTCCTATAGTTTTTAAATAGATTCTAACTTTCTATATTTTTTTTTATTTTTTATTTTTGAATAAGATAACATTTATTTAAAGTTACATTTCAATAATTTTTATTGTATCCATCATTAAGTAATTGTATCCATTATTAAGTAATAATCTTGTTGGGAGCGGGTCCATTTCCTCTATTGTTGAGTTGCTTAGAAGTCCCATTCCAGATGTGAAAACGCGCTCGATGTGTCTGCTACTCTCCATTAGAAATCGTCAACAGACAACAACTCCCAACAATCACATTCACCTTTTTTTTTATAGTACTACTTCTTTTAAAACACACAGCACAACAATAAATAAAATTTTATCAAAAAAAGTAACCAATGGTTTTCTCGTTATTATTTTCCCCTCGAACCGTTACCCAAAACGCCGTGTTTTGATTTCGCTCAACCCAACAGTCACTAACCTCCATTAAGTAACCATGGTTAAACTTCCATTAATAGTATTAACCATGGTTAACTCCACTCTCTTCTTTTATAAATTATAATCCTCACCCACTTAGCGAAAACGAGAGAAACAAGAAAATTTTACCAGAAAAACAGAGGAAAGATAACGGAGAGAAAAAACTGAAACCGAAAGAAAATGGCGTTGTATCTGGATGAAGAAGAGATATGGAAATGTCTAAAACACCCTTCGAAACGAAGGAAGATTGGAATTTGTCCAATCTGCCTCCGTGAACGGCTCGCATCTCTCTGTCCTGACTGCGCTAAAGTGCGCCCGTGTTCTTGTTACGCTTCAACTTCTTCTTCGTCTTCGTCGGCATCTTCATCGTTCTCTCGATTTTCTACCACCGGTGACTGTGTCGGTGTGGTTGGTAAAGTTCACAATCTCATCGACCGTGAGTCTTCGCTACGTAGGTCACGCTCGATGGCTATACCGTTTCTCCGGTCGAGATCGAGATTCTCCGGCGGGATTAAAGAGATGGATCATGATAACAGGGATTCGCCGGTGATCAATGGAAGCAGTTCGGCGAGGTCGTTTTGGTCAATGTTTAAGACGAATAGGAGTAACAGAGGAAGCGTATCGGAGCGAGATTGGGAGGCGAAGAAGGTATTGACGGCGGAATGTGAGAACGATGTGAGTCGAACAGCGGTGATGGCTAGGTCAAGGTCTGTGGCGGTTTCGTCGGTTTCCGGTGAGGGAGAATTGAAGCCTCGCTCGAAGGGAAAGGGATGGTCGTTTCCGAGTCCGATGAAGGTTTTCCGGCAGTCGAAGGCTTCTAAAGTTGTTCAGGAACGTTCTCCTTTGTATAGAGGTTGAAAATTTTGTAGATTATCAGTAATGAATACAACAACTTAATATTGACCCAAATGATTCTAATATTTTATGTTTTGACTGAAAAATGTTGAATTTACTGTACAAATATAAACAGTAACAAAAACGGTTATGGTTAATTGAGTTGTTATGCTATTGCTATCTATTTGCAATTATTTTAATAATATAGTAATTAGAGTAAGCACCAACTGTTATTAGGGGCATGATTAGGCTGTACTGTGCTATTTGGTTTGGTTGTGAAATGATAACTGCATTATAATTGGTGCTAATGATAGTTTTTTGATATGTATGACCCCACTTAACATGTGGCTCTAGTCTTATGAATCATAGAATGATAATATCTATATTTTTTTCTTTCGCATATTAAGGAGGATTGTTATACATATATTGGTCACACGACCCTACTCTGTTTGGATTATCAGTAAATATAACACTGGTTTTTTGTTATTATGATAATTTTACTGGTAATTCAAATTCTTAATGTTGATTTATGTATGATGTAATGTACTAACAATAGAGGTTTTAATGGCATAGCAAATCAGTTTGTTTCTTCTATCAATTATTCATAATGTGATAAGACAGGTACGTTAATGTTTCACCAAAATAGATGAACTGGTTGGTTGGTTGTACTTGTACTTGAGTACATGAGAATGTGGAGGAATATTGTACTAATGATTGGTGGTATTGAACCGTGTATGTTTATTTTCAGAATCAGAATATGCTAATTGGGTTATTGTTTGCAACCATATGAGTAATATTGAATTATGTCTCACTGGAACAGAGATAAAATAATTTGAATCTTAATGGAAAATTAGAAAACTATTCTCAAACTAATGACTCCGTTTTTTTCATAGATATCAAGAGCTAATGGGTGAAAGATGCTACCCGATTTCCCAGACAATACACATTTAACCTTGAAAAAGCAAAATTGTAAAGACAGTCAAAGTACTAGTACTGTGTTTTACAATCAAGACTTTCACTCAGAAGAGACATGTTTAAAGTAGTGGAGTAATATAAGTATTAGCTTAAACTTTATCATGAATTATTTAAATTGAAATGCTATTTTATTTAAGATTGAAATGCTATTTTATTTAAGATTAAATATGTTTTGGTCCTCTTAAATATTTATATTTATTTTTAGTTTTTTTTAAAATTTCTTTTAAAGATTGGTATTTTAAAAGTTTTAATTTTAATTTTTGATTTCATTCTAAAACCGTCATTAATTCAATCACAAAATAAAATTTTCGTTTTGCTGAAATCATTGTTAAATTGTAATAAATATCATTAAACTGTAGGAGGAATAAAAAATTTAAATTTAAATTTTTAAAAGGAATATTTTTTTAAATTTTTTTGAAAAAATTAAAAATTAAAAATTAAATATAAGATATTTAAGAGGACAAAAAAAATTTAATCCTTTTATTTAAGTACATCAATTGACAACAATATTTAAAGTAATATATTAGCTTAAAAATACGTTTTCCTTTTAATATTTAATTTTGACTGTGACTCTATTGAATAAGAGGGACACGATCAAACTATCATACTCATTAACTACATTTAAGGTCTTCTAAATATTTGTCTAAGAGGTTACTAGTATGAAATAATGCAAAACTTCAGTTTTTTCCTTTAATTACTTTTATTGAGTTTTATGTATTTAAATAATTTATTGGAGTATTTGATATGATTTATTGGGGTCATTTGGAGTTGGGTAGAATTTATATAATTTATCACTATTTTCATTAATTAAAAATGATAGAAATTGGATAAAACGTGAAATAGTGAGATATGAGATGAAGATAGAATAGTAAAATAATTAGTGGTAAGGAGTGAAAGAGTCAAAGAGTTGAGGGAGATTTTATTAAATTAGGTTACTTGTAAACAGAAAAATAAATTTGAGGTAAGGGGGGAGAATCACTCATCTATGAGTGTAAATTATATGAATGGTAGAGATAGATCCTCATCCTCTTTTTTATTTCTATTATGTTTTCTTTATTGTTGAGTTTTATATGTTTTGGAAACGGTTTGTGTAAAACCTATCTTATTTGTTTTAGTTTATGCGAAACTCGTGCCCTAAATCATACTGAAATTCATGCATAATTTGAATGTATAAATTTGGATGTTGTTGTTCATGTTAATATGTTTTGGGTATGATGAACATGTTGATGAAATTATGACAAATTGATGAATTAAGTGATTAACCTGTGAGTAATTTATGTAATAAATATAGTAAAAATTATATTTGCTGAATTTTATGCGATTTGGTTGGTTTGGGGTTGAAATCAAATGGAAGTACTCAAATCGTGAAAAATACAGTTCTACATTTTGCACAGTGATGACTGGCCGTCCTTCACTATGCACGGTCGTCAGGCTATTGATAGACCGACCGTCATGGTCTCCAGAGCAAACGACCTTGTTGGATGTCACCAGGGTGATGGGTATGTGTGAGAAGGGGTGACATACACATCATGACGACCATCATGATGGGGGTTGACTGTCATGACCATGTTGACCAAATTTGGGTCGCCAACTCGATTTTTTGAGTTGTTTCCGATTCCAACGTTTGTTGGTTGTTGTTTTGTTGTGTTTTTGACGAGTTGGTAAATAACATTGATATGTTTTAAGAGTTATTTGAATACTTTATGGATGTATAAGTGTATGTTGTTGAATACTTGTATGATTTCGTATTGGTGAGTTATAATCATACTTGTTATGTTGGGATGGTGACTTTATAAAGGGCGGTGGTTAAGGTTCGAAGAGGAATCAGTGGTGAGTATTGCACATGTATGTTGTTGTATGTCATGCATCATGTGTATCAGTGATATATGTACATACTTTAGTCCAGTGATGAGCCACTGATTCATAAGGGAAGATCAACGATGAGTGAGGTTCGAAGGGGAACCATTGGTGAGTGGACGAAATCAATAACATAACTCTGATGTCTGAAATTGGTACCACATGTATTAGTCGAGGTATTGATCTTATTGTGCGCATATTTGCATTATGAATTGATTTTTGCGGTTGTGAATAATTCACACATTAATGATTGTTATGAACAATGCTACCCTTACTATCTTTTGCACCGCTAACATGATTTGAGCGTATTCTTACTCCCATTTTTGCGGTGTTATGTACTCTCTTGAAGTACATATAATCAGGTAGAGGAGTAGTTGTTGTTTGAGCTAGAGGATGAAGTTGAGACCTCTTCATTTATTTAATATTTTTCGTGTTATTTAATTTCGTTGAAGCTATGATCTGTAACACTGGGACAAGATACTTGTTATTGTTATTGTTTTGTGTTTTCGAAGTTTGAGTTATTTAATTATGTGAAGTACTTTACTTTATTGAGAGAATTAAAGTATGACTAATCATTGAATTTCGCTGCAATTTCTTATTATGATGTTATCGAAGATGTATGTTAAGCAATGTGTAACACCTATGTATGAGAGATTATCTATTTATCTTTTATAAATAAGAAGTATGGCTTTTAGGGTGTTACAAATAACACATTATATTAGGTGATTAATGAGTTAATCGTGTGGACAAATTAACTTTGACATAAGTATTTTATGAAAGCTTGTCACATATTTGATCGGCGGTGTATGGCTAAAATAGGAGGCAAAAAGCTATGGTGTGAGTGTGGTGTTGCAATATCGGTAAATCCTTGTAATACCTACGTAATCTTTTGTGTTTAAGCATAAAAGTAAAATACATGTAATTTTTTCAATTTTAATTCGAGGCATCGATTACTCCCAAAATGTGGAAGTGGTAATGTTATGCATTTAGACATGATCAACACAAATGAAAACCGTAAAAGAAAGTATTGCAAATGTTCTAATTTGTTTGTTGTTGATGTACTTAGGGTTTCATGGACAAATTGATGAATTTTGAGACAAGGATATCTAAGAATACTAAGTGGATTGTGGTGATATTGCCATGGATCCTTAAATTAAGACATATATTGAGTATGGCTCATATTAAGATAAAGAAGTATATAATATGTGAAAACTCTAAACGTGTCTTAGACTCAACTGTTTGGTGTGAGTATGTGACTAGGGGGTATGGAGGCATTAGCCTTGAAATATGGTTCAAAAGTATTATATATATTCTTTGTAAAATGGTAACCCTAATTAATCACATAAATAAAAATAAACTATAGTCACTCTATAGTCGTAGAGGTTGCATCATTGGTCGAACCGCGTTAATAAATATCGATTGTGGTCATTGTCTTTTACTTATATTTCTCTTTAATCTTCTATATTGGTTATTGTTCTAACAATTGATATCAGATGAAAATTAAGCTTGGTAAAAAATTCGAGGTAACAAGGTTCGATGGGATGAGTAATTTTGGATTATGGAAAAGGAGGGTTAAAGATCTATAGGCTCATTAATGTTTATAGAAGGTGATGAGTGAGACGAAACTGACCAACATGCAAGATACTGAATGGGCAGAGATAAAGGAAAAGGTAGTGAAATTGATTATCATATGTTTCCGACATGGTGATGTATCATATCCTAGACCTAACGATGGCGAATGAGGTTTCTGACAAATTGGAGAGACAATATATGTCAACGAAGCTGATGAACAAATTGTTTGCAAAGCAATGAGTATATAGTATGAAGATTCGGGAAAAATGTGATTTGAAACAACATGTCAATGTCTTCAACAACACAATCACCGATATGATAAGGCTTGGGTGAAGATTAATGATGAAGGTAATGAAATTATTTTGATATGCTCGTTACTAGGTTCTTATGAGCACTTAGTGACTACTCTTATTTATAGAAAATATACTATTAGTCTTGATGTGATTACTGCTACAATTTTGTCTCATTCTTAAAGGAGATAAAGTGTATTCGAAGGAACTCAAGGCAACAATTTGTATGTGAAGGGTCAAGATCATTGGCAGAACAAAGGTAAAACACATTCTGGAAAAAAGATGTCTAAATTTAAGAATTGAAAAACAATTGAGTGTTATAGTTACAAA